CCGCTTGTGAAAAGTTCTGCTCAAGTCTTGGCTATTGAACAGCGAAAATCGCAGGTCTCTATCTCATTCCTGTCAAAAGTTATTCAAAAAGCAACCGAGTGCCAACCATTTTGAAACGGAGAGTAGTTTTAGCAAACAAACACCGTTGGTCTGAACAGAGAAAGAAGAATTTTCGTGCGAATCATTTTTTACTTGATATTCATTTTTTGACCAGCTTCAAATTCCAGTGGATAAATATCATAGACAACTTCACGATTAAAGATTAGCATAATATGTTTAACAGTTCGTTGTTGACCAGAAATTTGTGAAATAACATCAACATAAACATCGACAGCCAATGCTTTGCTAACATCAACACTAAACATTCGTAAGAAATCGTAATTTAGTTGTACACGTCCACCAACATCAATTGTTTGTGTTTTTAAACCACGTCTCATTATTTCACCATCACCCATCATTAGTGTACCACGTTTTTGTTTTCCACTAGCTACATCTTCTGTTATTTGACCAATGGATATTGTAGCACGACCAAACATTGGACGATTAAAATCATCACTAATTTCAATAATACCACGAAATGATATATCAGTACGTAATAAAAATCTTGGAAATAATACTTTTAAATCGAATGATGGTATTAATGGTTCACTAACCAATACTTCAACTGATGATGTGGTATTGCCCATTGTTGCTGATACCAACCATGAACCAAAATTGACATATTCATTTATTGGATATCGAATGATGTCAGTTAAACCTACAAATGATAACAGAAGAAACTTATTTTACTAAAATTTACTTTTTGTCAAATAATAATCGATAAACATACCATTTCGAATTTCTACTCTTTTATATTCGCCAACCAATTTTAAATAACTATCATATATTTCAATGTCAACAACACCTCGTTCAATTGGCATTAAATGCACTTTTGTAGCCAAAACACGTAATTCCATAAATTCACTGGGACGATAGGATGGTGATGATGTTTGTACCAATAATACATAACGATTATCATAAACGATAACATCCCGTTTTTGTGAAAATTGAATACCACCAGTTCCTCGAATTGTTAATTCACCACCACCAACTGGAAAATGTTCTGGCAAACTTAAAATAACATTTTTCGTTTCGCCTATAATAAAAACAAAGAAGACAAACATGAATCAAAATCTTAGTATGAGATCGAGTAGAGAAAAACTAATATGACTCAGAAACTCAAAATTCTCCCCAGCTAATCTCATTTATACTCTAATTAAACTGGTCTACCAAACCACAAGGTACATTGCATACTATTATTAATATCGATGGCCTACCTGGTTGACATGTAACACGAGCTTGAATTCGTTGTTGACTCGATACCACCAAATCGAATGTAACGTCAACCGGTTGTTCAACTTGTGTTGTTATCAATACCGACAATTGATTTTCATAATTGACCTTCAACAACTTTGGTAAAACGATAAAATACGAACTAGAAATAAAAACTATTTAATCAAAATATTGCACATACGAATCAAAAATTAGAAAAGAAAATCACCTACTTTTCCTCCAAACCTAATTGAACAAAAAACACACTGAGAAGAATTAATGGTAACTACAACAAAAAATAAAATTTTATTAACAGCTACAATTAGAAAGAAGTATTAGGTATGAGGAGGTTTCTGGCATTTCGAACTAACATAATTCCAATGTCTCTTAGTAGTTCAAACATATAGATACACAAAATTCACTTACTTTCACCATATTGTGTTTCTGCGGATAAGAGAGATAAGACAAGGGAGGAGGAAAATCAGTTATATTTATACACTTTTCAATCAGACGTTGAACAAAAGAGAAAAATAGAAAACAGATTTTTCGTTTCATTTTCATCTCTTTTCCATTGTACTACATGATCAAACAACGATATGTACAACAAAGACTATTCATTGTTTGCTTGATGACAATGACGATAGATCTATAGAATACTCTTGTTCGTCCACCTAGATAGTTGTACTTGTACTATTATAGAAATGACAATTTCAAACTGGACGAGAGAGTAAGAGAAAAGTGAATCTTTGTTATCCTTATAACAAAATATATAAGAGAGGAAAAAATAGATTGCACTTTGTTTTCCACTAGCACCTTGATACGATCTTTATTCTATTATTTAACTAGACTGGACGTATAGAGATAGAAATACACTCAAATAAGAATTTTTACCCAGAAATACAATCGTTAAACATTCTATTATTACAGAACAAACGTGATGCTCATACATTAGAAAAACGCGTACTTTTGCCGCGTTGCATCAACTTAGTTGAAACTAAGGCGATATATGCAGAATTTCACGGCGAATCCGACAGCGGGCTTCTTACAATTATACTTTGAGTTTCTGACAGGATCGTCACGGTCTTTGCGATTTCCTATAGTAAATTTAGGCATTTTTCTTGTTCTGTTACTTTTTTTCTTTTTCTCTCTCCTTTCTTTTCTCCTTTCCACGCGCACATTTTGTCGTGTTTTCTCTTTTATATAGACAATACATAAGAACATTGAATAACACATAGAACAAATTTTATTCTAAATTTAGTTTCTTTTATATAAACGCCTAAAAGTTCAAATCAAGCAGAACAGTGATGAACTTAAGTTTTTACATGAAAAGTTCTTTAATGTAATCAATAACTTTTTGCTTGTTCTCTGTTATCCTGATTTATTCTAACGTCTGTGTTGAAAAAAATAATCTATCTATGTTTTGAGTAAATAAAATACTGTATAGTACAAAATACTTATCAGAATCTAATAAGAATCCAATAAGCTTCTCGCAAGAAATTCGTATAAAACAGATAAGAATTACATAAGAGTTTTTATCAGTTTCTTATGAAACACTTACCACTTTTTTATAAGGCTCTTATACTTTCCTTATGGAATTCGTGGGACTTTCTTGCGGAATCTTATTTAAGAAACTGGTAAAAACCTTATCAGATTTATTAAAAAAATTTCGTCTAGGGTTAGTTTTCTTCTGTTTTCCTTTCCCTTCCTTTTCCTTCCTTCATAGGCAGTCATAATGTATCAGTCATGTTTAGTAATTTTCAATTCAACTCTTTTTTGTCAAGTCTTCGAAGACTTCATTATTCTTTTGATAAAACCTGTCTTATCTTTTGATTTCTAAACAAATTTCTGATATCTATTCTGTTGAGTAACAAATGCAGACAAGAAAATCACTGCATCGGATGATCCAAATAAAACGATAAACTTTTATTTTTAGGTTTCTTCATAACTATTCACCTACTAATAATTTGTGTTTTTGCGGTGCATATTGCGTACATAGTAAAATCACTGAAACACTCAAAGCACAATTGTTGTCAGGACGAGAGGACATAACCTAAAACAGGAGAGTGCTACAACTATCTTTTCTTTTTCGTTTTTGTGTCGACAATTTTTCACGAGTATGATAACGTTTTTCTCAGGCTTTTTAGGACGCATCGAATTTCTTATGCGAACTTTTAATTAAATTTTTAATCGAATGACTCCACGTGCAAACTTTTACTCGATGAATATTCCGAAATAAACTATAAAGACCATTTTTTTCATTATTATACCCTTTGACCTGTAAGTCAAAACAAACGTTACATTACCTTGAAGCTTATCTTACTTTTCCCGGGCAAAACTGGAATTCTAGTTTTAACCAGAGAATTATTGGTCAAAACTGGGATCTTGGCAAATCTGAGATATCACAAGAGTGGAATGCAACTGTTATCTAAATTTGATAATCATGTAAACTTATTAATTGTTAAAAGAACGCAGCCAAATGCGGTAACTTGTTCTTTTCTATATTCGGAGGGTCTAAGTCTTTTATGTAATTGTTCGCGTCTGATCAGATTTGGATGCTACATGCGACATCTTGAGAACATTTTATCATCAATTCCTCGCGCGCCGTTACTGTTGGATGATATTATATAAATAAGTTGTATTCGGCGGTAATCAACAACCATTTTAACTGGCAACTGTTTTGTAAAGACCCAGGAGAAAAAAGACGGGCAATAAACTGCTCATTAACTGCCAGTTTACAGTCTGCCTAAAAACTGCCAGTTGACAACGTGTTAACTGTCTAAAAACCACCTAAAAACTGTCTAGTTTATTGGC